GCCGAAGACCCGGACCGCTGCCGGATGAGTAGCCAGGGAAGGGATTTTCGGCCAGGGCTCGCGGGGCCCCTGCGGGGCCCGGGGCCTTAGGCAAATTGCCCCACTTGCCCCCTGCCCCCGGGTGGCCCTGTTAGGAACTCCATAGAATACATAACATCCTGCAGTCCACAGTAACTGCACAGGCAGCCACAAGTACTTCCCACCCTGTAGAAGAAAACCACTTGATAAGCTCCCAACCCTTCTGTTGATGCCCAATGGACAACAAGGGATCCACTGGGCCATCAATAAGCAGCTCCTCTTGTATATGCTAGTGAAGAGCTCCATGAACTCCCAGTTGCTAGGCAGGGTTCACAGGAACGCCTTCCTCATTCCCTAGCATTACCCCAAGACTCATGGGCACCAGATTGTGTGGTTGCCATGGGTTTCCTGTCTTGACAATTAGGTGTGCTGTTTTTATTAATAAAATGTGACTAATTATTCCTAGCTGTGACTCCCTTGATAGCCAGGGCCCACTTGATGTGAGCATTCAGAGAAAGGGGTGGCATCTCTTCTGCCTTACCAAAGCAGATATATTTGTTCAGAGTTGTGCTGGTAATTGTTAGTGTGACAATTTTCCAGTGGAGGGCATCTGAACTGAAACACGGGTCTTTGGCCCTGTCCTTGGCCTTGGCTGAGCAGTACCTGGCCCGAACATGAGGCGCTTGTATGGTTGTGCTCCTTTCTTACATCCCCTCGATCCTGGGACTGCCTAGGGCTTGTTTCAGCACCCCCAAAAGTTAGAATAGCCTCACTTTAAGCAGGGCATCAGCCTAATTTGAGCCCGCTGGTAACAGCCAGCAAGGACTGCTGAAATGCCTTAGCCCTTCAGGCTATTCCATCTCTTCCAGCCTACACCCTCCTCCTCCTCCATGTGGGAGGTTTCAAGGGAGTGTGACAAAGAGCTAGGCCATGTCTAACTACAAACTTACATCGGTTTGACGGTGCTGTTCAGGGGTGTGAAATCCAAACTCCTGAATGACATCGTTATACCGACCTAACTCCAGGTGTCGACAGCACTACGGCAATGGGAGGGCTTCTCCCCTTGACATAGCTACCGCCTCTCATGGAAGTGGATTAACTACGCTGATGGGAGAAACTCCCCCATCAGTGTAGCGGTATCTTCATTGAAGCACTATGCCACTGTAGCGATTAAATGTAGACCTAGTTACACCTGCTCTTCACCCTCCAAGGTTTCCCGCACACTAGAGACTCATCATTTGGCTGGTTACACTAGTTTTACAGACTCTGTTCATCACCACAGCAGTGCCTGGGGCCCATAGCATGAGCCAGGATGTGGCCCCTTGTGCCTTGGGTACTGGCATTCAGGTCTAAGAGCAAAAATCAGCTCTTAAATGTGGACTCATGAAGGAAAGCATTCCATGTTAATCAGAGTTTTGTGTGTGTTGTATTCTGCACAAGGTCCTGTAATTCATGGTGAGTGAAGAGAGGTTCATGCTATACCTCCCCCCAATACCCTATCGGGTCATTGGGTGGTTGAGCTGAATTGCAGAAGCAGAGGTTGATTCCAGGTACCTGCCACCCACTCAGGTGAAGTCTCTTTCAGTACTGGCAGAGCTCCTCTTTTAAATAGTAGCTGAGTTTGGGGCTTAGAACAGCCTCTCGGGTCATTGTCTGGGAAATGCTGGTGCCTGTAATGGGGAAGTTCCTCCTCCCTCTGCACCTTCATGTTAGCACCTGCTACAAGCCCAAGGCTTGAGACTGCTCTTAAATGCAAGTCCTGGTGCAGACTAAGCCAGGTTGGCCCATAGCAGGACATTTCTTTACAGGGGTGTAGTCCTGACTTTTTTAAGTTCAGGAGACTAGGAGTGGATGGGTCACTACAAAAAGTAATTTCCCCTCTCTTGATATTCACCCCTTCTTGCCAACTGTTGGAAATGGGCAACGGCCACCTTGATTGCATTGGCCTCATTAGCACTGACCCTCTACATGGTAAGGCAACTCCTATCTTTTCATGTGCTGTGAGATATATATATATATATATACTGCTTACTGTATTTTTCACTCCATGCATCTGATGAAGTGGGTTTTAGCCCACAAAAGCTTATGCCCAAATAAATGTGTTAGTCTCTAAGGTGCCACAAGATCTCCTCATTGTTTTTGTGAGGACAATAGCACTCGAAAGTGCAGGAACATTGTTCCCGAGCCACTAGCGTACTGTTTCTGTATCACATGCAAGATGCCTTTGTTTACAGCTGGTTTTCTGGTTTGCTTGAGACATGACCTGTTTGTCTTTCCATCAATATTTAGTGGGAAAGTAGCTATGAGCTGGGCAGGGGGCCTTGCACCCGGAGCAGGCTCCGCTGCTGATCAGGGATTTCAGGTATTCATATTTGACGGGGCTCTCTTATCTTCCCTGAGTTCTTGGCCTATACACTGAGGGGAACAGTCCTGCTCTCCTGCTTTCCCTGACCAGTTCCTGTGCCAGTGACGTCTCTGTCCTGGCTCATTTCTCTCAATGCAGTGAGGTCCTTGTGGCAGAATCACTCATCAGCCTTGCCAGCATCATTCTCGCTGATAACTAACTTGGAACCAGAAAAGCCATTGGATCCTGTTTTGTTCTGGGACCTGACCCAATGACTGAACTGGGCCAGCAGGAGACCTGCAAAAACAGAGACCAAAATTAGCAGCAAAGGCAGGGATGCCTGATCATCTGGGCTGGGCTCCAATCTCTGGGGTGGGGTGCTTGATGCCTGTCCAGCTGGGCTGGATTCCAACATTGCGTCGGGGAGAGGGCAGTGATGTACTGGCTGTCACCATGTATGACGCTGTTTCACTTATGCTGGAAGTGCAGGGTGAAAGAGCAGATCTCCGGCACTGTGGGGTTGCTGAGTGGACGTGGGTCATGAGTTTACACCGACCTGTATCGTTAGGGTTCCCAAATCGACTGTACACTCTGGGGAAAGCCCGAGTGCCTGAGTCACATGGGCAGCAGTGGGTGCAGCACTGCCCCATACCGGTACAGGGCTGAGTGGTGTTTGCAGGGCACCGCACAGTATTCAAGAATTTAAGTGACTAGGGTGCCCCAGGGCAACTCCGACTGGGTCAGCAGAACACTTGCTGCTCACATGAGCATCCTGGCTTCTCCTGTACAGCTGTTTCTAGCTGTGGCAACGAGTTTTTCCTTACAATGGAGAAACAGCTACTGAGGGGAAGCCCAGCAGCGTCTACCTCCACCGGGGCTGCTCCACCCACAAGAGGAGGGCTGCTAGGAGCCTATAGCCGCCTCTGGGAGAGCGACACAAGCCACCAGCAGGACCAACCCAACTGGGGTCTGGTGGCAGAGCCAGGATGCTCCTCAGTGAGGTACTCCAAGGGGGAGAAAGGGCTGGGAGGGGAGAAGGGGCTGGTGGGGGCAGGAGGAGACGGGTGCAGGTGGAGCTGCAGAAAGGAGCTCACTTTGATTTAATGTTGTTCTATGTCCACCTACAAAGGAGACAAGGTGGGATGGAATGGGATACAGGAAGGTGACTGGACACAGCCATGGAAATGGGACAGAGGGGAATGGGGGAAGATAACTGGAACCCGGATGGAGTCGGGGGAGGGAATGACTGGATCCAGCCTGGGAGATGGGGTGGAGGGGGAAGGTGACTGGAGATGGGATGGGGTGGAGGGGAGGGTGACTGAAGCTGTTGGAGGGCTAAGGGGGGAAGGTGACGATGGAAGGTGACTGGAGCTTTGATGGGGCGGGGAGAGAGGTGACGATGGAGGTTGGGGGGAAGGAGACCTGGAGCCAGGATGGGGCGAGGGGGGGAAGGTGAGAGGAGCTGGGATGGGGGATGGGGGGGGAAGGTGAGTGGAGCTGGGATGGGGCTGTGGGGGGGGATGGTGACGATGTGGGGTGGAGCAGGGGGAAGGTGACTGGAGCCGAGATGTGGCGGGGATGAGGGGAAGGTGACGATGGGGGTGGGAAGTGACTGGAGCTGGCATGGGCTGGGGTGAGGGTTGATTTCAGAAGAGGCTGCACTGGGGTGGGGGGCGGTTGAGACCCCTGCTCCGTACAGTGCCAGGAAGGCTGCATATACAGCTCACAGTGAGCCCAAGTAGTGGTTGCCATGGGAACCACAACTTTCTGTATTGCCTGTCTTTGTGCGTAGTGTTACATTACTTGCAAGTTTGTGTTAATGTATGTTGTGAAGAACAGGTTTGAAGGGGCTATCTGGGCCTGTTGCTGCTGCCCCTGCATTTTGTTATAATCCACATTTGGTTGATGTTGTTAGAGCAAAAGGTCAACTATTTGCCTATAGGCCCAGCTGTTATATCAGGAGCAACGACTGTTTCTGCAAAACACCCGCTGCAGCCTTCTGTGCAGCAAGATTATGTGATAACACAAGGCGGCCAAACCACCCTAGGTGAGACAGACAGGCACTGCTATTTCAGTCTAACATATGCCTCAGAGTGGAGTGCGGGGGGCGGGGGTGGTGGGGGGGGGAAGGGGGTGCTGTGGAAAGAAGTGATGAGTTCAAGCAAATGTTAAACCGCATCCTGTTATACATCCATTCCCTTGCCTCTCTCTCAATCTGCATACAAGGCCTTTTGAAATGTTCCTTCCGCATACACGTATAAGGTATGTTGCTAGGTATAAAAAGGTTTGCTCCGCACTTGTAAGGGGCTCTCTCTCTCTGGCATTAGCCGAGGAGAGCACCCACTCAGCTGACTGGTCAATAAAAACTTAAAGCAGTCTTCTAGACTCCCGTGCCTCCTTGGGGTAATTGGGCAGCTCCAGGGGGAAACGAGCCCATTTGGCTAACAATGTGGCCTTGCAGTCACGTTCTCAACTGTACATGCCAGATCCTGCCATGGCTCTCCCTGGGCAGGCCAGTCAGACATCCTGTGCTGTGGCAGAGAGAAGGAACAGTGCTGACTGTCCCATCACCTGCAATAGCTGTGGCTGCTGCTCTGAGTGCTTGGCATGGTTCCTAACGTCCGCTCTTCTTTGCCAGTCACAGGTACCAAACCAAGGACATCCTGGCCTAGAAAGGCCCTGCTCATCCTCGGGTTCCTCTTTGCTTTGGCTGCGATTGCCTTAGTTGCGATGGCAGTGAGTCAGAACAAGCCACTCCCAAAGAATATTAAGGTATTGTGAGGGGGGCCATTACAAGAGAAACAGCATAACTGGGTGGGGCCTGGGTAGCTCCAAGACACCCCTGAATTTTCAGGTGTTTCACCCACCACATCTTTTGGGTCTTGCTAATTCCCTCTGTTATCTCCCTGAACCTCAAGCATTTTCTCTTCCCAATTTCCCTGTAAAAACAAGCCCATTTCTGGTGGTTTTCATAGGTGACTCTGTACTAACCCATCGGTCAGTTCCATTGTGACACTATAGCTTCCAAGTTCGTACTCCCTTTCACAGGTGCCAGCTTCCTCCGGGCCCCCAGGGTGCTCAACCTCCCGCCCCACCCCTTCCCACGCAGTTCTGCCCCCTCCCCCCCAGCACCTCCTGCATGCCCCAGAACAGCTGATCGGAGCAGTCAGAAGGCACTTGGAGGGAGGGGGAGGAGTTGATTGATGGGGCTGCAGACAGACAGGAGGCTCCGGTGGGGAGCTGGCTGCTGGTGGGTGCTGAGCACCGACTCATTTTTTTCCATGGGTGCTCCAGCCCTGGAGCACCCATGGAGTCAGCACCTGTGCTCCCTTTGGTGGAAACTTTACAGGCCAGGACTGCGAGGAAGGCCAGTGATCTGCCCCGTTCCTGGGGGCACCCAATACCAGCGGTGTCTCAACTGATGCTCAGTGCATGCAGCTCAGAGCCGGCTGTCAGAGAGAGAGCCTGGAGCACTGGGCCTGGGGCAAGATCTGAGGCCTGAACCAGAGGCTGTGAACCAAAGTCAGGCCATGGATTAAAGCAGATGCTCACAAGTTCACTGCCCAGTACACGACCTTGGCAAAGTTGTTGCTAGTGTACAAGGCACTAGATATTTACATAAATATATTCCAGCTAGTGCAGATCCATCCCCATCTAGTACAAGATAAGATGGTTTGACAGAATAATGATTGGGGAGGTTTTGTCCAAGATATCAGGAACAAGGGGAGGTAACAAACAAATGTCATGAAACACATATGGTGGTGTATTCTTGTTTGTTGTAGCCTATAAGTGTCGGGGTATTTTGCCTTAATTCTTTGTTCGGCCAAGGGGACAGCAGAAATTCCTGCTGCTGACTGAACTGTTCCTTGCCGTAGGTAGGGTTACCATACGTCCGGATTTTCCCGGACATGTCCGGCTTTTGGGGGCTCAAATCCCCGTCCGGGGGGAAATCCCCAAAAGCCGGGCATGTCCGGGAAAATCGGGAGGGAGGGAGGGAGGGCTCGGCCGGGGCC